CTATAATGGTAGTGGGTTTGTGTCAACCATCTCTGATATTGCTGTAATGTCACCTTTGCACCAATTATAATATTTCTGGTATATTCTTAAATGTTTATACAGTAGTGTACTGTACATATATTGTAATAAACAGAATAGAGGAAATCAGCTCTAATATATATTATTTAGGTATGCATACTGGTCAAAGAGCCCGTCATAAGTCTGAGGCTTTGGTAAACGTGTACAGGTCTCCCTCAACATTTGCGAGGGTTAGGGGATCAAGAGCCTCGCGAATGTTGAAAAATCGTGAATGTTTGGTGCCCCAATATATTGTAGGGAAATCTAATACAATCCTGCTTCCTTAACCTATTGAACCATGAACAATCATAAAACACATGAAAACATCGCAAAATATGTATTGTATATACAGGTCTCCTTCAACATTCGCGAGGGTTAGGGGATCAAGAGCCTCGCGAATGTTGAAAAACCGTGAATGTATGGTGCCCCAATATACTGTAGGGAAATATAATACAATACTGCTTCCTTAACTTGTTGAACCGTGAACAACCATAAAATACATGAAAACGTCATAAACTGTACTAAAAATATACATGTTATGCTTTAATAATACGTATGTTATTAAATACCACAGACTCCGCCATTGCCTCCACCAATGCCTCCACCACTTCCTCAACCACTGCGAGTCCCTACTACCCTCCCTCCGACCCCTGCAACTGGCAGCCAGCCCTCCCACCACTCATTGTGGCGAGTGTTTTGCTTGTTCATTATTTGCTATTAAACTACAGTATAAATAATGCAAACCCATTCATGACTGCATATTGGAATGGCTATTCGGACAGGTATTGGACGGTGACATCATGTGTTTACTCTTGAACACAGCAAAGAATCAAGCATTTCTGCTACTGCTAATAATAACAATAGTAATAATAATAATAATAATAATACGATATAATTGAAGAAGGAAATTGTACAAAAATACGAGGGAGTGGTTGACACATCGTCAGTGTGGCTTTGTTTATGTTGGAGTGAGATTAGTCTCCGTGCTCTTCCAAACATTTCACAATAATTCAGCAGTTGAGGCAGTGCTATTTAATAACATGTATGTTATAAATAATAATAGTATATATTATTAATAACATGTATTATTATTATTAATAACATGTATGTTATTAAATACCACTGCCTCAACCGCTGCCTCAACCACTGCCTCAATCGCTGCCTCAACAGCTGCCTCAACAGCTGCATCACCCACTGCCTCAATCGCTGCCTCAACAGCTGCCTCAACCACTGCCTCAATCGCTGCCTCAACAGCTGCCTCACCCACTGCCTCAATCGCTGCCTCACCCACTGCCTCAATCGCTGCCTCAACAGCTGCCTCAACCACTGCCTCAATCGCTGCCTCAACAGCTGCCTCAACAGCTGCCTCACCCACTGCCTCAATCGCTGCCTCAACAGCTGCCTCAATCGCTGCCTCAACAGCTGCCTCAACCACTGCCTCAATCGCTGCCTCACCCACTGCCTCAATCGCTGCCTCACCCACTGCCTCAATCGCTGCCTCAACAGCTGCCTCAACCACTGCCTCAATCACTGCCTCAACAGCTGTCTCAACAGCTGCCTCACCCACTGCCTCAATCGCTGCCTCAATAGCTGTCTCACCCACTGCCTCAATCGCTGCCTCAACAGCTGCCTCACCCACTGCCTCAATTGCTGCCTCAACAGCTGCCTCAACCACTGCCTCAATCGCTGCCTCAACAGCTGCCTCACCCACTGCCTCAATCGCTGCCTCAACAGCTGCCTCAACCACTGCCTCAATCGCTGCCTCAACAGCAGCCTCAACAGCTGCCTCACCCACTGCCTCAATTGCTGCCTCAACCACTGCCTCAATCGTTGCCTCAACAGCTGCCTCAACAGCTGCCTCTACCACTGCCTCTACCACTCCAGTCGCACTCAATCTACAAGCACCAAACAATGAATTATTGTGAAATGTTTGGAAAAGCACGGAGACTAATACTCACTCCAGCATAAACAAAGCCACACTGACGATGTGTCAACCACTCCCTCGTATTTTTGTACAACTTCCTTCAATTATATCGTATTTATTATTATTATTATTATTATTATTATTATTATCATTATTATTATTACTATTGTTATTATTAGCAGTAGCAGAAATGTTTGATTCTTTGCTGTGTTCAAGAGTAAACACATGATGTCACCGTCTAATACCTGTCCGAATAGCCATTCCAATATGCAGTCATGAATGGGTTTACATTATTTATACTGTAGTTTAATAGTAAATAATGAACAAACAAAACAGTCACCACACTGAGTGGTGGGAGGGCTGGCTGCTAGTTGCGGGGGTCGGTGGGAGGGTAGTAGGGACTCGCAGGTGGCGGGAAACTTGAATATGATTTGCCGGCTGGGAATTTGGTGGCTGGGAATTTGGCGGTTGGGAATTCGCGAATGTGTGAAGCCCGCGAAAGCTGAAAACGTGAATGTTGAGGGAGACCTGTACATACATGCTCCTCCCACTCATATATTTGTCCGATCTCTTTTTAAAGCTACCCAAGGTCCAATCGAAGCTAAAATCTTGGGTAGTTTCAAATTTAGGTTGGATAAATATATCAGTGAGAGGGGTTGGATAAGTATATCAGTGAGAGGGGTTGGATTTGAGTGGGACTTGAACATGAGTAAATAGAATTATCAAAGCTTATTGCTTGGGTAATGTTTATTCCGAAGATTGAGACACTTATGCAACATATGGGAATCTTTATTCAGGAAACGTTTTGCCACACAGTGGCTTCATCAGTCCAAAACAAAGCAGAAGATGTAAGAAGAGGAGGAGTTTGAGGTAATCAGTCCCTCAGCCTGGAGTCGATGTGTTCAGTCCATCAATCTTGTAGAATGTACAGCATAGGGCCATAGATGTGGCTTATATACTGTTGCCAGGTGAGGCATAGCAGGAGGCGGTGTCATAGTGGTACTATCCACTAGTCGAAGTAGGTCTTCGTCCAAAGGTTAGACAAGCGTTGAAGAATTCTTTGTAGCAAGATCCCATGATGCTGCAGTGCCTGACAGTTGTGATGAATGGTTTGAAAAACCGACAAGTTGAAGAGTGAGACACTTATGTAACATATGGGAATCTTTATTCAGGAAACGTTTCACCACACAGTGGCTTCATCAGTCCATTACAAAGCAGAAGGTGTAAGAAGAGGAGGAGTTTGAGGTAATCAGTCCCTCAGCCTGGAGTATATATTAGTCCATATATCTGCTTTGTTTTGGACTGATGAAGCCACTGTGTGGCGAAACGTTTCCTGAATAAAGATTCCCATATGTTGCATAAGTGTCTCAATCTTCAACTTGTCGGTTTTTCAAACCATTCATCACAGTGTTTATTCTGTTAGTGGGTTGGATTTGTGAAGGACCTGCCAAGTATAGGCCAATAGGCCTACTGCAGTGTTCCTCCTTATTATGTTCTTAGGTTGATGAGTGCAACAGTCTGCCTAGTATGGTTATAAGAACATATGAACATAAGAAATAAGGAACACTGCAGTAAGCCTGTTGGCCCATACTAGGCAGGTCCTTCAAAATCCATCACATTAACAGAATATTTTCCCAACTCAATTTTCAATGCTACCCAAGCAATAAGCTTTGATAATTCTATTTACTCACGTTCAAGTCCCACTCAAGTCCAACCCCTCTCACTGATGTATTTATCCAACCTAAATTTGAAACTACCCAAGGTTTTAGCATAGATAGGACCTTGGGTAAAGGGATGGGGACTGTAATGGCAGGCTTCCTTGTGAAGAACATTGTGATGAGGAACTGAGACCATTTCCTCATATTAAAAACAGAGTTTTGTAGGGAATTATGCCTCTATCAAAGTTGTTCATCAACTTCAAAGTCCTGAACATAAATATGATTTGGTGGTTGGAAATTCGCGAATGTGTGAAGCCCGCAAAAGTTGAAAGCGTGAATGTTGAGGGAGACCTGTACATTGTTAAGTGAGGAGAGGCTGTATTATAAATGTACTTCATTATTATAAATCTGCTCATTATTATAAATCTAATTAATCACTTCAGTTACCTAGTATACAATAAGGTACACTATATTAAAATGTATTGCTCAATAACCTGTGTCAGTATAGAGTAAGAATTAGGATTAGTCTGCCCAAAATGCCTAGGCATGCTAGAGGTCTTCTTTGTAATTAATCAGTGGATAGGGACGTGTAGCAGACGAGGGCATAGTCACTGGTAGGCGGGATTCCCCAGTGGAAGTAGGTTCTACCCAAAGGGATAGGTTAGTTGTAGTAGCCGTGAAGGTCTTGTAGATGTCCTTTGAACCAATATTCCATGATGCTGCAGTGCCTGACAATTTGTGCAAGAAAGGTAAAAAATACTGACAATATGAAAGTTAAGACACATGTGCAGTGTCTGCTACACGTCCCTATCCACTGATGCCTATATAACCGCCAGATTCTACACCACCACAGTGCTCTCAACACCAACTCCAAGGCTGAGGGACTGATTACCTCATCTTTTGTATATAGTTCTACTGTCTTCTAATTATGTCCTAGAATCTGTATTGATAAAGCCACTGGATGGCGAAATGTCTACGTTGAGAATCATGCATAGCTCATAGATTCAGGTGTCATTTATCTATCTCTGTTTTGCTGGGCCATTACAGGGCCTGCAGCTGTCTTTAGAGTTTGTAGCAATCCTTAATGCTCTTGTAGGATCCTTGTTCAGAATGCCCATTAGCTCTATTTGCCCACAGGCCTTGTGATGACAATTTTCCTGCCATGTCTGCTCTCTACCTAGCTAAACTGGCTCAATTAGGGTCAAGGGTCCCTATGAGTGGTTTGTGAAGATCCTTGTTTGTTGGATGTGAAATGTAGTGGATACTCTTCATACAATACGCCAAAATAGCCAACAAATGTGTTTCAGATGGAAATTTAGATGTGTCTCATCTCTTACACATATGAAAAGCTAATGGGTTACCTGGTCATGTGAATCATCAATTGTAGGGCCGGCACCATGGGAGACATGAGGAGGATTGGTAGACAGGGAGACCAAGCTGAGGTACTCACTCTTGTTACCCTGCAAGGTCACCAACCACTTCTAGTAATTCATGTATTATGATTTTTGTTTAAATACTCAAGAAACACAGCAAAATCACACATAAGATCAAGAAGCATAAAATATTATATAAAAGACACTCTAAATAGGGACATGACATGAAAGATAAAAAAAAAGAAAAAATGAAATATATAAAATTCCTGGGAGCATGGGAAAATTGCTAAAAATTACAAGGCACACAGGGACATCAAATGAAAGAAAATGAATCATCATATAAAAGGACAGAAAACACAAGGACATCACATATAAAGAAAGCACATGAACATGACATAATAAGTTATAATGATACATTTCATTAAAAAAATAGTGTAGACTGTCTATGAACATAGGTAATATATGACAGATTATTTCATTCCTAAGATCAACTTGTATAACTCTTTTAACCCTTAAACGGTCCAAACATACACAGTGGACCCTCGCATAATACTATTAATCCGTTCCTGAGAGCTCAATGTTATGCGAAATTATCGTTATGCGAATTAATTTTCCCCATAAGAAATAATGGAAATCAAATTAATCCGTTCCTGACACCCAAAAGTATGAAAAAAGTTTTTTTTACCACATGAAATATTAATTTTAATACACACAAACTGAAGAAGACATGCACAGTTACATGACACTTACCTTTATTGAAGCTCTGGTGATGATTGATGGGATGGGAGGAGGGGAGAGTGTTGATGGTCTTAGTGTTTAGAAGGGGAATCCCCTTCCATTAGGACTTGAGGTGGCAAGTCCTTTTCCGGGGTTACTTCCCTTCTTCTTTTAATGCCACTAGGACCAGTTCAGAGTCACTGGACTTCTGTCGCACAACATATCTGTCCATAGAGGTCTGTACCTCTCGTTCATTTATGACTTTCCTAAAGTGGTTCACAACACTGTCAGTGTACAGGCTGCCAACACGGCTTGCAACAGCTGTCTGAGGGTGATTTTTCATCCATAAAGGTTTGCACTTTAAGCCACATTGCACAGATTTCCTTAATCTTTAGAGTAGGCAACTTCAATTTTCTCTCTCCCCTACTCCAAAGCAGTTTCCTCAGGTGTGGCCTCATGCTGATGAAGATGATCTATCAGCTCATCAGTGGTTAGTTCTTCATTGTCCTCCTCCACCAACTCTTCCACATTCTCCCCACTAACCTCCAACCCCAAGAACTTCCCAATGCCACAATGGATTCCTCAACTGGCATACGCCTCTCAGGGTTAGCCTCAAATCCTTCAAAATCCCTTTGGTCTACACATTCTGGCCACAGTTTCTTCCAAGCAGAGTTCAAGGTCCTCTTAGTCACTCCCTCCCAAGCCTTATCTAAAAGGTTTACACAATTGAGAATATTAAAGTGCTCTCTCCAAAACTCTCTTAGAGTCAATTGAGTTTCTGAGGTCACTACAAAGCACCTTTCAAACAGAGCTTTTGTGTACAGTTTTTTGAAGTTTGCAATAACCTGCTGGTCCATGGGCTGCAGGAGAGGAGTGGTATTAGGAGGCAAAAACTTGACCTTAATGAAGCTCATGTCCCCAGAAAGTCGCTCTCCCAAGTCTGTAGGATGACCAGGGGCACTGTCTAACACCAGGAGGCACTTAAGGTCTAATTTCTTTTCAGTTAGGTAATTTTTCACTGTGGGGGCAAATGCTTGGTGTAACCAGTCATAGAAAAAGTCCCTAGTGACCCATGCCTTACTGTTTGCTCTCCACAGCACACACAAATTAGCCTTGAGGATATTCTTTTGCCTGAACGCTCTGGGAGTTTCAGAGTGATACACTAATAAAGGCTTCACTTTGCGATCACCACTAGCATTGGCACACATGAGAAGAGTAAGCCTGTCTTTCATAGACTTATGTCCTGGGAGTGCCTTTTCCTCCTGAGTAATGTAGGTCCTGCTTGGCATTTTCTTCCAAAACAGGCCTGTTTCGTCACAATTAAACACTTGTTCAGGTTTCAGTCCTTCACTGTCTATGTACTCCTTGAATTCATGCACATATTTTTCAGCTGCTTTGTGGTCCGAACTGGCAGCCTCACCATGCCTTATCACACTATGTATGTCACTATGCTTCTTAAATCTCTCAAACCAACCTTTACTGGCCTTAAATTCACTCATATCATCACTAGTTGCAGGCATTTTTCTAATTAAATCCTGATGCAACTTCCTAGCCTTTTCACTTATGATCGCTTGAGAGATGCTATCTCCTGCTATCTGTTTTTCGTTTATCCACACCAATAAGAGTCTCTCAACATCTTCTATCACTTGCGATCTCTGTTTCGAAAACACAGTTGCACCTTTGGCAAGAACAGCTTCCTTGATTGCCGTTTTCTTGGACACAATAGTAGCGATGGTTGATTGGGGTTTACTATACAACCTGGCCAGCTCGG